GGGCATCCAGGCATTACAGTATTATGCGTAACGCCATATATTTATCTTGAATTCGGTAAGCGGTCAAATTTTATACATTTATATAATGACAACGTCGGGAAATTGGAATACACTGACGTACAAAAGAAAGTAAACACCCGATGCATTGGGCTTATTTAAAAAAAAAAAAAAAGCACGAATATTTTGAAAACATATTTTTTGGCTTACAATACAAAATCATTGTGTGTAGGTTGTAAGGGTACATTCGAGATAACGGATTTCGAGATATCGGGGTCTCGGTAGTGACAATTTCCAAATTAAGTCTGGATCTTTTTCGTGTGTCCCGTGTGATAGATATCAGAACCTAAATTACTGTAGGTCATTTCTCTCTGTAAGCTCTTGTATGTTGTTCACTGGCCTACATACATCCTCTGCATAGCACAGCTAGCTGCAGTTAGCTAATAGATGCGTTCTTTATGTCTTCTCGAAATATAAAATCGTTTTTGGTTCAAATTAGTCCTGACTATTTTCTCGGATTGTCACATCGACAAGAAAAGGTCAATGACCGGCGACACTTCACATATAGTTGTAATACACATTAAAAAAGGCGTTACACCCAACTTACTAACTGTTAAAAGGCGCCATATTAATTCGTCTCGACATTATGGGTAATACAGTGATTTTCGTTTATAACAAACACACTTATGACGAACCGGATATAACGAATTGGGTTCTCTGCCCCGGCCACTTGCTTTGTATTTTACAGTCTGTTTGATTTCATTCGAGACCGATGAATTGCTCACAAAATATAATAATTGCATCAAAACCAAATTTTGCACAGTCACATGAAATCGACAGACCAACTCTGATGATTCATCTCATAAATTTGGACGCCCAATAATAATTGATAATTTTGTACATAGTTATATTATTATATGGTTGCTTCATCCATACATGTTGATATGCCTTTTTCGTGTCAATTTATTAAATGTTCATATGGCTTTTAAAGGTCTATTTGTTGTTGTTTTTTGGGTTTTTTCAAAATCAGTTTTATTTTCCGATAGCACTTGACATATTCAGACGGCGGGAAGAAATTTTGTTTCTCTTTCTTTTGCGAATTCTATTCATATGAGCAACAGTTTTCAGAATCGTGAAGTGAGTGAGGTTTTACGCCGTTTTTAGCAATTTCCCAGCAATATCATTCATTTGGACACCACCAGTGGGCTTCATATATTGTAACCTTGTGGGGAATCGAAGCCGTGTCTGCGACAACAACCTCGTGAAAGCTTTAACCACCTGGCTACCCAACCACCCCCTTGTAGTGGAAGTGGGTGTCTAGGGTTGAGGCGTCACAATTCGTCGTTGTTCACTATTGCGTCAAGCCGACTTCATTGGACTTCATGAGAATGTTTAGTGGTACTTGCTGTATATAGCGGCAGCTCTGATGATCGTGCAGAGATATTTGCTGAATTCAGCGTTGTTAGTTTTGAGTGGAAGTGTAACGATATGTACTGACATCGCAACTCACGGCAGAGGCATCTTATTACTGTTTGTGAGAGTTTAAATGCCCTAAGCTACTGGGACGACATCAATGGATGCAGAGCTTGCAGAGCCGTAACGTCAGGCTGCAGCATGATCATGATATTGTTTAGGCAGCAGAATATTGCTGCACTGTTAAGGCCTGCTGTGTGGACGGACCTCTCACCCATGGAACATATTACGGATGACAACGACGCCCACGACAGGATCAACATCCAGCTGGTAACAATAGAACGTTGGGGCGCAGTGTTAAATTGACATTACTTTGCTTTTTTCAATCCTGGTGTCTTCAAATCGTCCATTTGCCTGCAACAACGCACATGGTTGTCACGTACTGATACTGCTAACTGGTTTGTTACACCATGCCTCTTTTAATGCGTCTCGCGCTGTTCTAGCAGGTTTTGTGAATTCATTATAAATGATGCAATGGCGAGACGATTGACAATTGATAATATTGTTGTTTTCAAACGTGAGCTTCTGCTCCACAGGGGTTCGAATCACTGTTTGGACAATAATTTTTAAAAATAAAAATCTAGGTTTTTGCAACCGTTTATTGTTTTATATGTTATGAGTAACTTATATTTCAAATTTGAACGAAATCGGTGAAGAAATGGATTTTGTAGAAAATTCTCCCGCTACACTCATTACATAAAATACACGATTTTTACTTTTAAAAATTATTGTTCAAACAGTGATTCGAACCCCTGTGTTCTGCTCTCTGAAGGTTGGCTTTCTCAGATGAGGTTGAGATATGTTTTACTGAATCTTTTTAATTCCATAATTTGTACATGGATACATATTTTTTCAGGGGTATATAGTTACACCAAAGAATTCCATCCACCCGTCCGTGCTTCCAAAGACATATTTATAGAACCACAAACTTGAACAGTATTAGCAAAACGTTTTCACAATTGATAAACAGCTTCTTTGTGTAAAGGAGAGGTGCAGAGAAAAACTGGTTTACGATTGTCTAATTTTGTAAAGAGTTGCGTCAATTTACATATCTGGAGCTAAAAAAAAACCAAGGAAACTTTTGTTCATCCAATACATTGAACACATTTGAATGGTGCAGTGCAAGGTTAGATGCAGATCTTATATTTTTGTTAAGAATAATCATTATTAATTGTTGTACAGCAGTCACGATTGTGGTGTTAGTGAGTCTCGCTTACTATTTGTGGTATGTTCCTTATATTGATTTGAGTTGCGTTCTACGTCGCATCGGCTTTATTTCAGCCAAACCAAGTCTGCATACATGGACATTTTAAGTACAAAGCTTAAATGAGTTAGGTTTTTTTTTTTAAAACAACAACAGCATATTTATTCGTTACATTATTATTTACAAACAGGGAAGGTCATGGCACCAAATTTACAAACAAGCAATCTGCCACTCATATTACAAAGTTACAATTTATGCTACAGGCCAACTTCCATCAAGTAGTTAACAATCAGATGCCCGCTCATGCGGGAAAACAGATGTTTCAGATTTATCGTTTCATAATGTGAATCCCTTGCATTTGAAAAGTCCACACAGTCAAGCAGAATAGGCATGTTTCTTATAAGTTACAAAGTAGTAGTATGTACACAATCGCCGGCAAGTCGTGACACCCTATCTGGAAATATATTCTGAGAATGTTCGAAGTTATCCATAAACAGTTTGTGGTACTTTTCATTGATAACTTCTTTATGAAATTTGGAGGTATCACATTTCGCCAACTATCAATTGCGCTTGCATGTTGTGCAACAGAGATTCAAGAGACCCAATCAAGAAGTCTGGGATATCATCTGGGTAGTTGCAGGGAAGAAACAATAAGAAAAGCAACAACTATTCCCAGGGAATGGCTCTGGATCAGTGACCATTTAGGCTACAAACATTAATTTCACACATTCACTGATATCCTAACAGGGAATGTGTGTAATGGAACACCATGACAATCAGTTATGTCACGAAATCCCTTGAAATTTTAGGGAATACGTGAAATCCCTGGGGGTCACAGGGATTTCATGAAATCACTGACTCTTTCAGGGATTGCGTGAAATCCCTGTTTTCACACATTCCCTGTAACATGCATACGAATAAGAATTTCTGCTTGGGTTGGCAAAATCAAAACAAGGTAAATTGGCAAAGAAGTTTAACTTAAGCTTCCGGTATATCGATGATTTGATATCGTTCAATAACCATCAAATAGCCAACTGCGTTCCTCTGATTGACACACCTGAACTTTTAATTAAGGAGACAAGTGAGACCGCCTCAACTGTTTCAATTTTAGACCTATGCATAAAGATTCAGGGTGACACAAAAATCGCCACAAAGCTGTATGACAAAAGGGATGATTTCAACTTTCCAATAGTCCACTTCCCTTTCATGTCGAGCAATATTCCAACAGCTCCAGCTTTTGGTGTTTACATTTCACTTTTGACGTACAATCGAGCGTGCTCTTTTTATCAGGATTTCAGAGTGTGTCAAGCCACTCTTACTCAGAAGTTGTTTGATCAAGGTTACAACATTCAAGGCCTCAGTAAAGCTTTCAAGAAGTTTTATGGTAGACAGCAAATTTCGAAATTTGATGCATCAGTGACAATTCCCTTTTTTGACGCATATCATACGTTCCGGCATTATTACAGGTGAACAAATGACTAGACGAACACCTGGTATCATCACTATTTCATAGATTTTATGAACACATGCTCTGCCATGGTATTGCATGGTGACAATGAATGGAAAGTCTTGTGGTTCAGACCCGATTTGTTTACAAACAACATCATACAACTGTACTACTGCTGAAACAAATATCTGCTCATGATATAGTCACAGTTGTACAATCGACTCTGTGTTTAGTAGAGATTTTTTATGAATGTGGTAAGGGTTTTGTAGCTTCTATTAAATCTATTTATTTGCATCTAGTCATCCGAATTCTCTGACAACATATTGTTTGTTTTGATTGTACATAATCATATTGACTGTAAAAACTGCACATTGGCATGCATCATACATGGTCATGGTCAAGCACAAACCGATAACCATAAACCCATACCCTTGAGCCATAAAGATTAAACGTGTTTTTTTGTAAGACACGAGAAGTCATATATACTACCGATCAAAAGTTTAGACTCACTAGTGTAAATGTAGCCACTTACTTCGGTCAACTGCTCTGAAGTAGATTTTGCAAAATGTTCCATACTGTGTAAAGGTACTGTTTACACATGAACTGATGTATTGTAAAACAAATTCGTAATGTTGAAAAGATCATTGTCAAGAGTTCAACAAATAATGAAATTCAGTGAAAATTGGCGATTTCTAAACAAAACTTTACACCAAAATGCAGCTGTTCACATGCACGATATTTGAAAATGCTTTTCAGCGATTTGATGCATGATCCTCGTGCAATTCATCTGCATAAGGTTTGCTGTTGGTTCCCCTAAGTTAGTGGAGAAATTCATTTCGATGTACCCACACATATATACATAACATATAGTGAGTGCTTTAAGTGAGTCGAAACTTTTGATGGGTAGTATAGCTGCACTTGATGAAAGAAACATCAGTTGCCTCTCGCCAGTCTGTTGTAAATGGCCGATCTGGCCCTATAGATACCATACGAAATACAGTGAAAGGTCACAGTCACGGTGCTGGTGACAAAAAGCATTCCAAACGGTAATGCAGGGTGGTTCCAGTCCAATAATATCTTATACACCACATGCTTGTGGTCTGCCATCCAATATAGAATACTGAAGAGGTAGTACACAAGCCCATAAATTATAGGAAAGGTAAAATGAAATAGACGTACTGGAATTGCAGAAACCATTTGATCAATAAGGACGATAACTGTATTCAAAGCATGCACGACCAACTCCCGAGGTAGGAACGCATTCTCTGGTGTGGCAATCAAAATGTAAAACCCACATGTAACAAATGGGCATGCTGCGTTAAGGACACTGTAAACAATCCACAGTATTATCAGATGCAGCGGTAGATCGTCGTTCTGTTGTTGGTTTCGAACAATTAGATTAGTCTCTTCTGTCGGGTGTGAGTTCTCCTCTCGTTCCTTGAAGTGACGATGGTGTTCTTCAAAAGATGGTCGGCTGAGGCAGGTGTGGCACGTGCTGGACATGGCGTGGTGCAGCAAGACGACGGTGTGGACTACATGGTACGTCGTTAGAAGCGTATACGTCCAGTATGTGGTGAAGGCTAGCCAAGGAATGGGCGAATAGTATGTCGCGATGTTGTATAATAACGTAGATATCAGGATGGCAGAAATCAGAATCTTGTAGATTATAATCAATACAGGAGGTACACGCCACTGAAACGAGAAACATTCAAGAAATAACTATTGATAGCTGGGACTGATATGTTTCAAATGCACAAACAGATGCTTGTACGTGTGTGTTAGGTGATACATGCCTTTATGTTAAACGTTATTGATGTGAAAATTGGCGAATACCTAATTTAAAGTAATTTTTGCAGCACATTTTTGTGTTAGGTCAGATGGATTCATTAGAGCATGGCTCGATAGATCTATTTTTCAATTGCTTGATGTATCGATTTCTTCATTTCAAAATATTTTCATTTGTCGAAAATGAATGTAGTTTATGCAAAACCTTGTGAATGAAGCTGCCAACCATGCCAATGTGGTCGAATATAATCCTCTAATTCTTTATAATAGACCAAGCACTCGTGCATTTTTGTGGATGAATGTATTGCTTTGCAGGTACACGCCAACCAAAAATTTGATGCATATAAACCTGTAGCTGGCTTTCATATTTTTACGCTTTTATTTGCAAGAATAGTTACCCACCTGCCACAAGTAGAACTTTTCCCGGGAAACTCCGCTGAAACCAAAGTTCTTCCACTGAAACTCGGTCTCCCGGCAGCTCATGCTTCCACCCAATCTGGAGGAACATCATGCATTAATGTAATAACTACTCTGACATTGGCACAGGTAGTGAGTGAATATTGCTTCACGTCGATTTTAACAATATTCCAACAACACAAAGACTGCTGACTCCAGGAACTGGCTTCACACATTTTACCATAATGGTGAACAGAACACGTCCTCGTCTTGACAAGTGAACATATATGATTTGGCTAAGGTACTCCGACATCGATTCTATGGAACTAAGAAGATGAATATTTGAAATGTTAATGAAGCAGGGACAGTGTTTATGCTATCCACTCTTAGCAAGGTTGCAGGAAGGGGTCGTAACACACGTGTTTAACATGATTCCGTGGGCCGTGTGAACTGGAGCATTGTCCTGGAGATGCCAGACACCTCGGCGAAGTTTACCTCTTCGCTTTTCTACGCAATTCATAAGCGTAGTATGCACCATTTATTATGGAACCCTTCTTTAAATAGTCCATATTAATTAAGTACCTATTAATTTTATGAAAGCAAATGAACATTTCATAATACAATACGTTTCCTTCCAAATACGTCATCTGCAGTTCTACTCTCCTCAGAAGCTGCAATGAAAGCTGCAAAATATCCTGAGGATAGACAAGTATGGCTGCACTTTAGCACTGACGTCCGTGATTTAGACGTTCATGTTATGAAAGTAAATGTACATTAATTTTCATACAACTGTACCACAATCTACTACAGTAGATTTCCTTCCTATCATCTCATCTCCAGTTCTACTCACCTCAGATGCTGCAATGAAACTGAAGGACTATGTTATCACCAAATCATGGTCATCATTGTCATTTGATACCATTTTGTTCAATTATGAGACCCGTCACGCCTAATTACAACTCTGTTCTATAAGCACTGCACACGTTTATGTCTCTGAACATTGTAAGCTAATATATATGTGTTCGTTGCTGATAATATTCACGTGACTGTCTCATTATATGAAGGTTGTTTGTTTACCTATTATTAATATCATTGTGTGTGTATATTCATATATTCACTTCGGGTCACTGCGATCTAAACATTGTTTGTTCGCCAGTTATTTCTTTCCGATCTCCGAAGTCAAGATGGACAAGTGCGCGCGTCACAGCATTCGGAGAAGCATCGATGATGTAGACTGGTTTGTTCCAAAAATAATTTTACATGGTCTTGGAATATAGATGTATCGATCTGAATTATGTTCTACTTCATTTCAACAATATGTGTAAAGTTCAAGCACCAATGTAATATTTTACCACTTTTTTGGAATAATTCCGATCTTAGGAAAGGCGTAGTTTTCTCTTTGTTCAGCGACCAAGTCGGACAAGGAGGAAGTGAGATGTACAGTTAGATCACAAATAATATCAGAGTCAGCTCTTTTGCTTCGTTACCATATCCCTCTTTGTGAAGATCTGACACCATATCCCACTTTGTGAAGATCTGACACCATATCCCTCTTTGTGAAGATCTGACCCCATATCCCTCTTTGTGAAGATCTGACACCATATCCCTCTTTGTGAAGATCTGACACCTTATCCCTCTTTGTGAAGATGTGACACCTTATCCCTCTTTGTGAAGATGTGACACCATATCCCTCCTTGTGAAGATCTGGCACCATATCCCTCTTTGTGAAGATGTGACACCATATCCCTCCTTGTGAAGATCTGGCACCATATCCCTCTTTGTGAAGATCTAACACCTTATCCCTCTTTGTGAAGATCTGACACCATATCCCTCTTTGTGAAGATCTGACACCTTATCATTCTTTGTGAAGATCTGACACCATATCCCTCTTTGTGAAGATCTGACACCTTATCCCTCTTTGTGAAGATCTGACACCTTATCCCTCTTTGTGAAGATCTGACACCTTATCCCTCTTTGTGAAGATCTGACACCTTATCCCTCTTTGTGAAGATCTGACACCTTATCCCTCTTTGTGAAGATCTGACACCATATCCCTCTTTGTGAAGATCTGACACCTTATAAACCTGAAACATAAATTTTGGTAGTTATGACAAACTGTAATGTTCACTCACTTAAAAATATAATATTGCATGATCATGTTTTTATGATCAATATGAGGTCAGAATCTATTGGGGCTCTGACGGAGAAATAGTACATGCAGATGTTTTTAGCACGATTTCTTGGCGTCATCATCATCATCATCGCCGTCGTTGTCATCGCCATGGTGTTTCGCTGTTATTAGCACAATCACCATCCTCCTTCTCATCATTAGCATCATCATCACTTGACAAACTCCATGTTGTATTGCATCTGGGCGGAGAGAGGAAAAACCAGTGGTTCAAAAGACAGATAGCAGAACCTGGTAAAATCCTTTGTGTCATTGGCTAATATGAACACGATATTTCTCATGCAATTCTTTTGTAGGTCTATCATAGGAATAGCTGTATGTACCGCCAATGCTATCATCTCTTCGAGTTTTCCAGGTGGGGCGTTAAGCCCCTGAATTGTGATGGAGCTTTATCGTGGGTTCTCCTGAACGTTATCAGCATCACGCCAAGGTGCCCTTCCAAATCAAGTCAACCAATTCAGTGTGACGAGTATGCTTCCGTGACGCCTGCACTGAATATTAGAGATCATAATGATAATTATGAGGATTAGATGATATAATAGGGGGAGATGATAATGAGGAAAATGAGAACAGTAGGAGGAGATAATATTGATCGTCAAGAGGAGAGAAGAAGGAGATAATGATTTTGGTCAGGAGGGGGACAGTAGAAGGAATGATGATGATCAGGTAGAGGACAGTAAAAAGAGATAACGAGACAGCGAGGGGAGATAATGGCGATGGTCAGGTGGTGGACAGCAGAAGGAGATATTGGTGATGTCAGGAGCAGGACAGTAGAAGGAGATAATGATGGTGTCAGGAGGAGGACAGCATAAGGAGATGATGATGATGTCAGGAGGACAGCATAAGGAGATGATGATGATGTCAGGAGGACAGCAGAAGGAGATGATGATGATGTCAGGAGGACAGCATAAGGAGATGATGATGATGTCAGGAGGACAGCAGAAGGAGATAATGATGATGTCAGGAGGAGGACAGCAGAAGGAGATAATGATGATGTCAGGAGGACAGCATAAGGAGATAATGATGATGTCAGGAGGAAGACAGCATAAGGAGATAATGATGGTGTCAGGAGGAGGACAGCAGAAGGAGATAATGATGATGTCAGGAGGAGGACAGCAGAAGGAGATAATGATGGTGTCAGGAGGAGGACAGCATAAGGAGATAATGATGGTGTCAGGAGGAGGACAGCATAAGGAGATGATGATGATGATGTCAGGAGGACAGCAGAAGGAGATGATGATGATGTCAGGAGGAGGACAGCATAATGAGATAATGATGATGTCAGGAGGACAGCAGAAGGAGATAATGATGATGTCAGGAGGGGGGGGACAGCAGAAGGAGATGATGGTGATGTCAGGAGGACAGCAGAAGGAGATGATGGTGATGTCAGGAGGACAGCATAAGGAGATGATGATGATGTCAGGAGGAGGACAGCATAAGGAGATAATGATGATGTTAGGACGTCAGCAGAAGGAGATAATGATGATGTCAGGAGGAGGACAGCAGAATGAGATGATGATGATGTCAGGAGGAGGACAGCATAAGGAGATATTGGTTATATCAGGAGGACAGCATAAGGAGATAATGATGATGTCAGGAGGACAGCAGAAGGAGATGATGATGATGATGTCTGGAGGAGGACAGCAGAAGGAGATATTGGTGATGTCAGGAGGACAGCATAAGGAGATAATGATGATGTCAGGAGGTAGACAGCATAAGGAGGTGATGATAATGTCAGGAGGAGGACAGCAGAAGGAGATATTGGTGATGTCAGGAGGACAGCATAAGGAGATAATGATGATGTCAGTAGGAGGACAGCATAAGGAGATGATGGTGATGATGTCAGGAGGAGGAAAGCAGAAGGAGATAATGATGATGTCAGGAGGAGGACAGCAGAAGGAGATATTGGTGATGTCAGGAGGCCAGCAGAAGGAGATAATGATGATGTCAGGAGGAGGACAGCATAACGAGATGATGATGATGTCAGGAGGAGGACAGCGTAAGGAGATGATGATGATGATGTCAGGAGGAGGACAGCATAAGGAGATAATGATGATGTCAGGAGGACAGCAGAAGGAGATGATGGTGATGATGTCAGGTGGTGGACAGCAGAAGGAGATGATGATGATGTCAGGAGGAGGACAGCATAAGGAGATGGATGATGATGTCAGGAGGAGGACAGCATAAGAGATGATGATGATATCAGGATGCAGAGGAGGACAGCAGAAGGAGATGATGATGATGATGTCAGGAGGAGGACAGCAGAAGGAGATGATGATGATGTCAGGAGGACAGCAGGAGATGATGGTGATGTCAGGAGGACAGCAGGAGATGATGGTGATGTCAGGAGGACAGCAGGAGATGATGATGAAGGTGGTGACATTACAGGAGAGGACAGCAGAAGGAGCTGATGATGATGATGTCAGGGAGGGACAAGGAGATGATGGTGATGTCAGAGGAGGACAGCAGAAGGAGATGATGATGATGTCAGGAGGACAGCAGAAGATGGATGATGTAAGGAGGAACAGCAGAAGGATGATGATGGTGATGTCAGGTGAAGGAGGAGATAATGATGATGATCAGGAGGACAAGCAGATGATGATGATGTCAGGACGTCAGGAGAAGGAGATAATGATGATGATGATGATGAGGAGGACAGCAGAAGGAGATAATGATGATGTCAGGTGGAGGACAACATAAGGAGATGATGATGATGTCAGGAGGAGGACAGCAGAAGGAGATGATGATGATGTCAGGAGGAGGACAGCATAAGGAGGAGATGATGATGATGTCAGGAGGACAGCAAAGGAGATAGGTGATGATAAGGATGACAGCATAAGGAGATCGATGATGATCAGAGGAGGCAGCAGAAGGAGATGATGATGATGATCAGGAGGAGGACAGCAGAAGGAGATGATGATGATGTCAGGGGAGGACAGCAGAAGGAGATCGGTGATGATCAGGAGCAGGACAGCAGAAAGGAGATATTGGTTATGATCAGGTGGAGGACAGCAG